TTCATATAAATACGCACACCCGCCCCACCCATAACCAAAAGAGGGAGAAAAACCCAAACTTCTCAATTTTTTAAACCAAACACACTTGCTTAAAAAATGAAACAAATACCTTCACAACGGACTCGCACAATAGGATGACTGCGTTTCCGGAAACCTCCTCCAGGAGTGCCTCCACACCCTAAAATATTAGCACCTAAAATGAGAGAGGCAAGATGAGAGAGGCAAAAACAAGCAAAACAAAAAATGAAGATACGCACCTAAAATGGCTTCACTACGTTGTCGTTCGTCGAATAAGGCTTCAATGCTTCCTTGGAGAAGATCAACAAGTAGAATGTAGAGAGTGTTTTAGGTTTGAGAGTGTTGAGAGGGTTTGGGTCTTAGACTATGGGAGAGTGAGCGTTCCAGAGTGTGTGAGAAGGAGCGTTCAACAGTGTGCGAGAGGGAGCAACATTCCAGAGTGCATTTGAGTGTCTCAGAGGGTGAGCATTTGAGTGTTTCAGAGAGTGAGCATGGCAGCGCGCGGGGTAGGGGATGAATTTCTAAACCCCTTCTACATCGGTCAACACGAAAACGGATGTAGAATAACAAACTAATTACAATTCTACATCGGTCACTCATATAACCGATGTAAAATAGTTTATATTTACATTGTTTTCTATAATAACCAGATCGGAGCTCCATCACCAGTTCACTCTTCAAAAATGCGACCTCATCTTTCAAAGAGCGAACCTGGCCCCGAGAAGACATCATCTCGCCTCTAGACAAGGTAATAAGCCCCCGCAGCTCGCTTACTTGGGAGGCATAGCTTTTGTTAAAGTGCAGAGCGATCTCCAATGACTTCTGGACCCTAGCGAGGCCCCCCTCGCCGCCTGGAGCTCGACTCCTTGCATCTTCGCTTTGCCAAGGGCGGTAGTCAGAACCCCGTTCTCCTCCCTCAGGACTCTATTCTCATCCTTCAGAGGCTGAACCAGGCTCTTCAGCTTTCCCATGTCTTCTTGCTATTTCGACCACTTGTGTTTCCAGTGATCCACAATGGTCGTGCCTCTCAGCAGGAAGATCTGGGCGGCATCAAAACTTTCCATTGGCACGGCCGACTCAATCATCGCCTGATCAGCCGTGCTCAGCGACCCCTTTGGGAAGAACTTCTCCGGAGTCACCGCGGCACTCCACAGAGAGTCGATCTCCTCCGACGCACTCAAATGCTCTAACCGCATCGGTGCGCCCTCTTGCGCATAGCGGTACGCAAGATACGGACGCTTCAGCTTCGGCATTGGAGCAGGCGCAGGGATCTCAGAGCTCGACCCCTCCCTACGGGCCTCGGCGGAAGTAGACGCAGGTACCCCCTGCTTGACCACGGAAGGATTCCCTTCTGGCGCCCCTAAGATCAGAGGATCCGAAACCCCGGCGACGTCCCCCGCCTGCAAGAAACAACGATACTCTTCTAAGACAAAAAGTAAACAGAGGGGTAAAACGTCAATGCCACAGAAGGGCCAACCGCTTACCTCACCAACCGGGGTAGCAGGTACAGCAGCCCAGATCACCTCCTCGGCAGCCGGGGTAGCCCACCCGGCAGCAAGGACCACTTCCTCGGCAGCATCCCTTGCCTATAGAAATCAACCTCAAGTCAAAACATAGAAAAACAACATAAAAGGTAGAAGATAGAAACAAGACTAAGAAAGGAAAAGTACTCACCACGGCGGCCTGGACAACTCGCTCAGCAGCTTGGGCCAACACCTCGTCGGGATGAGCGACAGGCTCAACAGTCGACGCCACCTCTTCGGCGGCCACACAAATGGCCCCCTCCAACGGCGGACTTCCAGTAAGGTCCACCGCACCAGCTTCAGCAGCTTTGGAGGCAACCTCCCCTATTTCACAAGGGGCAGAGGTCCCCCCGACCTCTCTCCCGCCCCTCTTTCTTTTCCGGTTGACTTTCAGGGGAGAAACCTCCTCCTCTGGAGGCTCGGAGACCTCGAGCTCGGTCAGGTCGAAGCGAGGCTTCATTTCAAGCCACAAGTCCTTCCCTATAATGCCTGCAGGCAAAAAATAGAGCACATCAGCAAAAAAAAATTACACAAACCTCAACGAGCTACCAAAATACAAGATACTCACCCTCCAGGCCCCTCTCCCTGTGCGCCGAGTTCGCAAGCGACAGGATCGACTTGCAATCCAATGGGCGAGGAAGTGCCGAAAGATTCCTAATGGCGGCAGCCTCCGAAGCCGTCAATTGCGAAGGGTCCACCCCGTGAAACCTAGACGGTTTGGGGCACCAGTAGAAAGGGAACTTCGGAATTCCACCGAAGTAGAAGCCCCCATCCTCTAAAGGGTCAACGTCCACAAGGGCAACCCGGAAGAACTCGGGTTTGTAGTTTTTATAAGACTGGGAGTAAAGAGTGAATAAACCCTCTTCTTTACTCCCGCTCAAGGAAAGAACGCCATAAGGCGGAACACCCAGCTTCAACTGGTAGAAGTGAAGGAAAACGTGAAGGGACAACTCTATCCCTAGGACCGCACACAGGACTTGAAACGCCCTCAAAAAACCCCAGCTATTGGGGTGCAGCTGGCAAGGAGCCGCGTTGATGTAGTTTAAAAAATCACACTCAAACTGAGTGAAAGGAAGACAGACGCCCAGGTCCCTGAAGAGACACTGGTAGACATAGAAATGAGGAGGTTCGGTAGACCTCCCCATGTACACACCCTCACCGACCGGACAGGGCTCGAGTCGAATCATCCGAGAAATGGAAGGGTCACAAATTCGGTGCGTCTCCCAAACCGCATTGACCTCCAGAAGCGATTTGAACACACTTTGGACCCCCCCCATTTCGCGCTTAACTCAGTCGTAGCCAGGAACGCTTGGCAGAGGAACCGGCGCCACGTCCACCAGCCATCAAGAGAAGCAAGAAGACTCGAAGAGGAGATGTGAAGAAAGGGAAAGAAAACCGTAGAAAGGAGGTACCCGGTACTCCTCCCGGGAAAACAACCCTAACAAACAATCGGATTACCGGAAACGACGGCAGAAACGGAGAATACGGAGACGGAGAACGAACGGAAACAAGAGAAACGGCGTGCGAGAGAAGATGAAAGAGCGAAAATGAGTAAAGTGAAAAGTGAAGAGGCGCGAGTGGGAGAAAAGGGGGTTTTCCAAAATCCAAACGGCCACAACACGTGTCAGCCAGGGGACACACCTGATCACGCATTAAATGAAGCCATCATTACATAACCGTCACGCCCGTTAACGCGCCGACCTCGGTTATCGAAATGAGAAGCGACAGTTACGACACATGGCACCTTGACAGGCCAACGTGCGCGAAAGGTCACTTCCCTCCAGCAAGCTCGGTCTTAACTCCTCGACCTACGGTCTTTGGAGCTCGGGGGGGCTAGTGTACTATCCGTACTGTGAAACTGAGCTCGGAGCTTGGCATCACAACGCAAGATGACCTCAGGCACGCGCTACGCGACGTCAGCTCGGCACTTAAATAGATCGTAACCGATCTCAGGAAATCTCGGTCTAGGCGAGATTCTCCACCTAATCAGATCACAACTAATCTCAGGCCCAAGGCCCAACGCAACCCTAATATACACTAAGGTACGTGCATTATTTATAGGAGATTCATACTCATATAAATCCTAACTTTAGCATCGGAGTCTCTTTTGCAGGTACCACTCCCATCTTGGAGCATCAAGCGTACCAGCGAAGGAGGCTCACCAATCTTACTCGGAGGATCATCTCTACAGCAGATTTCCGGTAAGAACAGTAAGTTTTGATCTAGTACTTATAAAATACTTTTTCTTTCAATTTTTATCTCTTTAAAATCTAAATTCATTATTTTTAATTAATTTTTAACGATTATTTTAAAATAAATAATAACATCTATTTAAAAAATTTATAAAAAAAAATTTAGAAGCATAAAACATCGACATTATATCATTAACAGTTGTAGATAATACTTAAAATGATCACTTAACCTTTTAATAAAAAAATAGTCAAAATAATCACATAAAAAATAGAGATTAAAAATAATAATTCTAATTTTATAAAGATAAAAAATAAAAATTAATTTTATAACGATAAAATCAAAACTTACTAATTTTAAAATAATTAATAATATATTTAAAACAAAAATTAAATATCAGTAATGAGTTAAAAAAAAAAAACAAAATTTTAGAAAAATGAAAGAAAAAAAACATAAGGAAAATGTGTTTGAGAAACTAGCGTCAAGACTTGTTCAACATATTTAAACTTAAAATAGAAAAGTTTTCAACATTAATGAAAAGTGATGCAGTAAGCAGCTACAAATTTAACTGCAGAGATCTCCTTGGCGGCTCCACCCTATAAAAAGTAGTTGGATGATCCTGCATGGTTGCTTCTCCTCCATTCCTTTGGAACCATGATGACCCAACCATCAGCAGCACCATTCAAAGTAATCCAAGTTTGTTCAGTTGCACCGCTTGAGGCACCAAAAACAAACCCTTCCACCACCGTGGCTCCAACCTCTCTCACGCTTACCTTCTTGTTTTGATCTAGTACTTATAAAATACTTTTTCTTTCAATTTTTATCTCTTTAAAATCTAAATTCATTATTTTTAATTAATTTTTAACGATTATTTTAAAATAAATAATAACATCTATTTAAAAAATTTATAAAAAAAAATTTAGAAGCATAAAACATCGACATTATATCATTAACAGTTGTAGATAATACTTAAAATGATCACTTAACCTTTTAATAAAAAAATAGTCAAAATAATCACATAAAAAATAGAGATTAAAAATAATAATTCTAATTTTATAAAGATAAAAAATAAAAATTAATTTTATAACGATAAAATCAAAACTTACTAATTTTAAAATAATTAATAATATATTTAAAACAAAAATTAAATATCAGTAATGAGTTAAAAAAAAAAAACAAAATTTTAGAAAAATGAAAGAAAAAAAACATAAGGAAAATGTGTTTGAGAAACTAGCGTCAAGACTTGTTCAACATATTTAAACTTAAAATAGAAAAGTTTTCAACATTAATGAAAAGTGATGCAGTAAGCAGCTACAAATTTAACTGCAGAGATCTCCTTGGCGGCTCCACCCTATAAAAAGTAGTTGGATGATCCTGCATGGTTGCTTCTCCTCCATTCCTTTGGAACCATGATGACCCAACCATCAGCAGCACCATTCAAAGTAATCCAAGTTTGTTCAGTTGCACCGCTTGAGGCACCAAAAACAAACCCTTCCACCACCGTGGCTCCAACCTCTCTCACGCTTACCTTCTTCGACCTCTTATGGCTCCGCTTCCCAGCCGCCCAATGTCTCTTCTTCTACTCCTTCCCACACCCAACCTCTTCATTCCACAACTCCCTTCTCCCCTCTCTCAAACACTCTCTTTCTCTCACTCTCCAACACTTCCTCCCTTTCGCTGGCACCATCACATGGCCCCACAACTCACCCTCACCCATTATCTCCTACGTCCCCGGCAACACTGTTCCCCTCACAATCGCCCAATCCAACGCTGACTTCGATACTCTCTCTTCCAACCTCTGTGAAGCACCCGAACGACACCGTTTCGTACCCCAGTTGACAACTTCCCATGAACAAGCTTCAGTCTTGGCACTTCAGGTCACAGTGTTCCCAAACACTGGCTTCTGCATTGGAATAACCACACACCATGCAGCTTTCGATGGAAAATCTTCAATCATGTTCATCAAATCATGGGCATACATATGCTCTAATCTTCAACACCCTACACCTTCACCGACCCTATCGTTACCTCAGCATCTCACACCTTTCTTTGACAGATCCGTGATAAGAGACCCTTCTGGACTAAGTGAAGCGTACGTGGCCACGTGGATGCATCACGGTGGTCCCAATAATCGAAGTCTCAAGGTGTGGGAGTCCATTATCACGACGTCAAACGATGGAGTCAAAGGTTTGTTTGAGTTAACCCCCTCACAGATTCTAAAGCTCAAGCAACATGCACAGTGTAAGATGAAAGTGGGTGTTCAGTTGTCAACGTTTTCTGTTACGAGTGCTTATGTGTTGACGTGTTTGCTCAGAGCTAAACAGCCAGCGGAAGATAATGTGTCTTTCGTATTTGCTGCGGACTGTAGATCGCGCTTGGACCCTCCAATTCCTGGAACGTATTTTGGAAACTGCGTTGCGTCCAAAAGGGTTAGGGCGGTGACAAAGAAGTTGGTGGGAAACGATGGGTTTGTTAGTGCTTTGGAGGGGATAGGTGAGGTTTTGAATAGTGTGAAGGATGGTGGAGTGCTAAGTGGAGCAGAATGTTGGGTTTCGGAAATGCATGAAAAAGTGGACGGAAGAATGTTCCCTTGTGCTGGATCGCCGCGGTTTGAGGTTTATAGTACTGATTTTGGGTGGGGAAGGCCTAAGAAAGTGGATATAACTTCCACAGACACAACAGGAGCATTTTCTTTTAGTCAGAGTAGGGATGACAGTGGAGGAGTTGAGATTGGACTGATGTTAGATAAACGTGAGATGGAAGATTTTACTACCTTTTTTGTACAAGGACTTGAATCCCTTTAAGGTTGAAACTTCACTATTTTGAGGCAACTGTAATTCGATCGCCCTATATTTAAATTGTTGTGTGACATTTGTGAGATCTAAGAGGAAATTGAGAGCATTAGCTTCCTACCTCTCCTAAAAATTTGTGTCATCAAACTGCAAGCATCTACTGACAATGCTTTGCAGGTACCTTTGGGAGATTCATATTTTATTTGCTGGTTATGATTTCATAACAGTTTGCTTTTGTTGTGTACAATTTGTCTCGTTAAGATTCCTTGAAGTATTGTTTTAGATGTGTCGTTTTCTTAAGGTACCACGGTTACATTATAATTTTTTAACAATATTTTCTTTTTTACATTTGTTAAAGTATTCCTATATATAAATAGGTTAATTTGCAACATTTTGTTGAAAAATATTACTATAGATAGAGTAATATTTTTTATTTCAATATTATTCTTTTCAATTGTCTTGAAAATTAAAGTCTCTTATCGGGTAAAAAAATGTTATATAAGTTATTTTATAATATTTTTTTGAAAAATGTTACTACAAAAGACTCGAAACCCTAATATGGGACAAAAAACGGTCGTTCCCAACTTAAAAATCACACATGAACCCTAGTTGGGAATGACCCTACCCAACCTTGGAACGGTCGTTCCCAATTGGAAAATTGTACATGAACCCTAGTTGGGAACAACCCTACCCAGTCAGCCAACCTAGTGTTATTTTGTGGCCCGAAACAATTGTTCCAGTGTTGAAAACAGTTGTTCCTCGTCCCTGGGTGCCTATATAAATGTGCCCAAGGCTCAATCTTCAACACTTCACACACACAGAGCAAACCCTTGTTAGATTCGACTCTCTCTCTCTCTCTCTCTCTCTCTCTATATATATATATATATATATATATATATATATGTGTGTGTGTATTTGAGTGTTTGCAAGACTTTTAATTATAGAGTGAAAGGCTGCAAAAACGTGCTCTTGTACGCATTATTTGAAGAATTCTTCTATTAAAGCTTGCTTCGGAAGTTTTTAATTCTCTCTCTTCCTTCCCTTTCCTCTTTATTTATTCTATTTGTAACCCTATGCACATTCAATAGATTGATTATCATGTAGATAGTGGGTTAATATACGTGTTGTAAATTAATATAATGTAAACCATTGTATGATTAAAAAAACAAAATGGGGTAAAAAATTAATTATATTTGTCATTATGCTAAATTTATCATAGAGTACTGAATTAGGATGTTGTGGGGCATCTAACACCTTCTCCACGCGTAACCGACCCTCGTACCTGATTCTGGCTATGAAGGTCGTAATCTACTTTTGAAAATTCTTTTTCTTTTTTCGATGTTTTGAGTAAAATATCGTTGGCGACTCCTTCGAACCTTTTCAAAAATCATCGGTGAAGGATTAGTTCGGTCTTAGGACAGTCCAAAGTCGATGAGATTTTCAAAATGAACTCCAAATCATTTGTGGACAAGATTAGAATTTTTCGAGTTTCGACAGATGATGACTCCACTAGGGAAGCTAAAAGAGGGTCAAGCCCATTTAACGGTAAATTTAACATAAAAAAAAATAATTAAAATTTTACCTCTTTTACCTTGTTTGTAAATATTTGTTTTTTAGTATGGCTTTAATATATGCATGTTTGTTTAAATTAATTATACACTTGTTTGAAATAAACTATACATAAACCCTTGCACAATAAAAGTTTTCTCTATACCCGAGGGAAAAAGAGATGACCATAAGGAGTGGTTGATGTACGACCGACCGTCGAAAACGCCTTAGATGTCCACATGTCGTTGTTGGAAATCACGCTCAAGGTGATAACCAGTTACTCTAACTCGATACTCTGGACAGACCACTGTTGTTTGCCAGTTGACAGCAATAGAGATATTGGATCCCTATAATAAGGGCACCTTGGGGACCTCTAAGACTAGTGAGAACAGTTAGAACCACCTTATATGCTCCTTTCTTTAAAGGGACCTTAACCCATGGATTTGAACATGACTGTTCATGGGTGTACGTTGATTGAGCATGTGTGAGTGCATTTTTTTGTTTACATTGTTGTTTTCAATAGGAGTAGATTGGAATGTTAAGCAAACAAGTAGATAATAAATAAAAAATTAATACCCTCTTGTACATTCTTAGGCTATCATTTCATTAACATCATATAAGTAGATTTTTTTTTTAAATGAATAAAAAAGAGTCATATCTTTACCATGCATCATCTTTCCTTAGATAACAAAAACATGATAAAGTGTAGGCAAAAAAAAATGTCATACATTTTTAGGCTAGCTCATTACTCCATTATGCATTTATTTTCCTTAGATTATAGAAGGATTAGGTAGCATCATGCATAGACAGTTAAGAAAGGTGAATGTCTTAAAATATTTCATGACTATGATAGACAGTATATGCGCTCCAAATAGGGATGGCAACGGGGTGGGTAGGGTACGGGTTTCATGATACCCGTCCCCGTCCTCGTGAGTTAAATCCATCCTCGTCCCCGTCCCCATACCCGTTGGGTATAGATTTTCATCTCCATCCCCGTCCCCGTCGGGTATCGGGTATACCCGTATCCGTACTCATACCCGTCAATTTTTTTATTTTTTATTTTTTGTAAAAAAAATGATATTTTAAATTATTATTTTTATTATATTATTATTATAATTAGGTTATTTTTTTTATCTTATATTATAATAAATAATGACACATAAAAAAATATTAAATTTTTTTAATATAATTAAATTGAAAGTGAGTATTAAATTAAAAATGAGAACGGGAACGGGTACGGGGCGGGTAAGTACATACCCGTACACGTACCCGTACCCGATTTAATATATCGGGTTTTACCCGTACCCGTACCCAGTCAAACCGGGTATTCCCCGTCAAAGTCGGGATGGGTTCAGGTATTACCCGCGGGTACGGGTATGTTTGTCATCCCTAGCTCCAAAGAAAGGCCCAAATCAATTTTGAAAAAATACTATGGTCGGGCCCCCATTTTGATTAAAAAAATCTATTGAAACAAACCTTCTTGGAATCTAATCTGCATTGCTGGCAAAAGCCCATTAGAATGAAAATGTAAAAGAAAAAAACATTCTAAGCAAAAGCAAGGAAAAACTATGAGCTCACCGAGACAAAAGTCTTAAACAAAATGATTGGTGCAAACTTAGGCACTAATAAGGCATGTTTTGCTCAAACACCAGCCACCTAGTGGCTTCTTTAGATTTTTGTAATACTGTCAACATCTATTAAAAAAAATTAAGCATTAACCGATAAACAGATCAATAGAATTGATATTTATCAATTCTTAACTTTCTCTACATTCTGCATTGCATTCATTTAGAGCATATCCTTCCTTGTAAATGAATAAATAGGAATAAAAAGAGAAATTGACATATGTACGTTAATCATGGAAAGTAAGCTGCTAATAATCAAGCCCACACATTTAAGCGGGGCATGCTTAAAAAGGTTAAAACTAGTTAAAATCCAAATAGGTAAAGGGTAAGGAACATAGAAATAGTTAATGATCGAGACGCCAAGTCCTCTCCCATATGACAAAGATTAAAGTTATGCCGTGAATCTACAATATCCAAACGTCATCAACTAAAGACTCATCCAACATCATCAAGATGGGAGGAATGACTAGGAGTGGACGGATCCACACCTAATAAGCTGTAAGATAAAATCTCCAAAGAGAAGGAGAAGTTCAAAGAAGAAAGGAAAGGAACCTGAGGAGGAGGATGAGTTTCTCAAACACATAAGTTGGAGTGAATAGAGCTTTCTTACCAAGATAATTCCAAAATGAAGAAAAAACATTATGCTTGAAGGCATTGCTTGTTAAGAGCCCGCTAGGATGAAAACTCGCAAAAGGCATTCTAGGCAAAAATTAAGGTAAGAAAAAAGTCTGACATGACAAAGGTCTTAGGCAGAAAAAAAAAAGGCTAAAGATCTCGATAGGATTCGTCCTATGCAAAAGTTAGTGGTAAAAGAATAATAAAAGAAAAAAAAAGATGTTTGCTCGAACTAAAAACCAAAAGGCAACTCGAGTATTCCTTCTAAGAAGAAAAACTTTATGAAAGTTTTACTTCAAGCTCTATTACCACTCCTGCCTACAATTGCCTCCTAGGAAAGGCCATGAAAACATCAAGCACGAGTTGTACCCTCCATGTTCCACCAAAAAGTCGAGTTAATGGGGGATGGCAAGCTGATAATGGTCCAGGTTGAAGAGAATTTACTCATCAGTAAACTACTCACCATTTTATACATAGATATGACGGAGGAAGCCCTATAAAATGCTCTTCAAGAACTAAATATTTTCCATATTAAAAGAGTCTCAAGCAACAAAAGCTTAAGTAGCACAGATGTTGTCCAAGAAGGGTTACTAGCCAGGACAAGGGCTAGGTGAAGACACCCAAAGGGTAACTAGGCCACCTAACTTCCATAACAATCCAAGGCGACAAGGGTATAGGATATGAACCAGTTACCATCTTCAAGGGAGGAAAAGTCGAGAAATCTCCCATAGCATCAAAACTTTTAGAAGAGTTGGTATTCAGATACCCAAAGGTTCAACTCTGAATGTACTAAACCCCTATAAGGGGCACCTTCCCTTTTCTCCTCTGTGCATGAATAAAGAACTTGGGGCATGCCCAGGCCCTCGAGCTACGTTAAATGGACACGTAAATTGAGATATTATTTTAATGCCATACATCTTTCTATTTCATTTCTTTTCTCTCTCTAAAACGTCTAATCTAGGCCCTACTAACAAACCCACAATGAGCAAGCATATTCGAAATATGGATGCCATTGGAACAATAACTTGAAATACGCTAAAACCAATAAAACTCACCCCTCACAAGCCTGGAGAGGCTACCTAAGAATATTCACCACTGGCCTGAAGAAGCTCCCTAAAAATACTCACCCCATGGATGGCTGAATCCTTAATGCCAGTCCAGCCTGGAGAGACTAAGCTCAGAAGATACTCACTTCGCAACAAACTTGAAGAATCTCTAATCACAAGACAGGAAACCGAGGGTCTAAACGAAACGTTCACGCCTTTACCTACCTTTGGAAAATGTAGTCTGAACGTCTTACTATCAGAGGATAAGCAAAGATGCAAACGAACTCACCCGACTAGAAGAAGCAACACGGAGCTCTCACACCTCATTCATCCTATATGAAGATAGGAAGTCGAAGGTCCCGACGAAACATCTACATCTTTAACCACCTTTGGAAAATGCAGTCTCGATGCATTACTATCCAAAGGACAAACATTGATGCAAACGACCTCACCTGGCCAGAGGAAA